CACCCTTGCTAGCCCAGGATCCAGATCCATTCCACTGACGTTCGCGCCAGTTGTAGGGAGCCACCTTGTGGCTGCTTTTATATTGTTTCTTCTTTGCGGAGTGTCTAGGGTGGGGAAGCGGCTACTTACTGTGCCCGAGGCTAACTTCCAGGAGGCTGGTGGCACTGTTGGGATCGTTCCAGCAGTGCTGGTCCATTGGTGTCTAGCTTGTTCTCCAGAGATTGAACCTACAGGACTACTGAGGGAGTGAGTAGCTGCCACCAGGGTGGTGGGCCTCCTGGACAGATCTCAGCTGAGTGGCACTCCTGCTGTGGAAGCACACTGACCACCAGGGGGCAGGTTATGCATTGAGCGGATGCCCCTGGTGGTCAGTGTGCATCATAGTGACCGGTGGTTCCTGTCATTCTGTCAATCCGTTGCTTAGGCTTTTATATATATATATATATATATATATATATATATATATATATATATATATATATATATATATATATATATATGATTTTTGGCATTTGGCCCTATTTATTTCTAGGTCTTTCTTCTGTGCTGCTTTCCTGACTATATAGTGAAATATAGACCACACTATTTGTTTGATATTCTGTTTGTCCTTCAAGAATAATGTCTTAGTGAAATACCATATTGTATTTGGTCAGTCTTTTCAGCCTGTCTTCTATTGCTTATACTTAGACACTTCTGCATGCTGAGCTTTTTTGATGTTACCTTGAGTTCATCTATTTAAAAAATTCTACCTAATAAAAGGTAATATACAAATTAACTGTCACTCCATAACAAAGATGGTGGCACCCATAGCCACAAGATGGTGGTATCCAGTCCCCTCAGCCTCACTGGAGTCCCCCAGACCTGGGGGGCTGCTGCTGAGAGCAGACAGTGTGAGTGGCCTGGTGTAATGCTTGCTTCATCAATGGAAGGCCTCTGGGCAGTGGGCTCGGAGTGGCTGGGGCAGGATGCTAGCTTGTCACTGCAGCCTCTGGGGGACAAGGGGCTGGCCCACAGCCTCCGTGGCCAAGTATAGGCCTGGAGAGGAGATGGCAGGCCTGCCTCCCATGGAAGCAGTGTGGGTCCCTCTCACCTCTCACAGAATTGGCATAGGTCTTTCCTGGCTCCCATGGAAGCAGCGTGGCTCCTGGTGGTACACTGCAGTTCGCTGGCTCCCCTGAGGCCTACTACTCACGATAGTAGTGATGGGCTACTAGTTTATATAAAACTAAGAAACCCTTGTTATTAAAATGTTAACCTATAGTACAATCACATGCATAAACTAAAAAAATGAAAGATACCTTCCCCCATTTGGGTTGGCCTCACCCAGCTAGTCAAAATCCCACTTATCGAGGGCATTACATTTATTTCAAACTATATTTATAATGGAAGCCAAATTTAAAACTAATGTATGTAAAACATTATCACAACATGTATCAACAGAAATAATTTTTAATGAAATTTTACACTTATTTCACTGAAATTACAATGCATCACTACTAGTTTCCCAATGTAATAATAACCTCATGATTTCTCTTTCTTTATAATCTTCTTATTCCTTTTAATCCAAATCCTTCCCACTGTGTCGTTTCAGCCTTTGCTATTCTTAGCTTGTGGTAACTATGTTAGAGGCAGTAATGAAGAATTTTGCTGTGTGATCTCTTTACCTCTCCCAGTACCTTGCATGTATCATCAATAAATATTTGTTAATGATGCTAATGATTATTTCAATGAAATAAATCCTTAGTAAATACAGAAAAATATGATATCAATGAGGTTCCCACTTAGGCTACACACACGCTGAAGACCTATGGTACACAAAGGCCAGTGGCATGATTGAATATTTAGAAGCACTGCTGTGTCTTAAGGCAACCATGTTGCTTCTTTGGGTTTCCTGTTAGGAGCTAATGTGCAATGGCCATCCTGTGCTCTGGGGTCCAAAGCAGAGCCAATAGCGTAGTAATGATATTACAATTTTCTCTAGAAAGAAAACAACAGCCTTTGTCTTTGTGGCATAAAAACATCTATAGCCTACTGAGAGCCTTGCAAAATGAGGATATGAACACTGCTAACAAAATGGTTTATGCCATGCTCTTTCTTTATGCTGTTATTCTTGTCATCAGAGTTATGTTAGTGGCCAGGACTTTGGTTTCAGCAAGCTGGAAACACTTACTTGGCATCTTGCGGACTAACAGAAATCAAGTAATGTGGAGGACCTCACTCTCAAGCACCTCTGGAGAAGACAGAGGAGCAACTGGGTTTAGGTCTAGACCTAGAAGAGAGTTCAAGGGCTTACATCTGCACTATGGGCTGAGAAAAAAATCATAAAGAGTATACATTAGTATTATTGTTACTTCTTGATTAAGGTTGTGGACTATTGCCCATGCCTTTATTTGTATGTGTCAAAGTGCTGTTTACATGTCTCCCCTCCCAACAAGATATGATTGAAGGAAAGTTTTATTTTAACCTGAGTACTGGGCATTTTTGGTGGAAGTATATCTCTGATTATTTACTTATAGGCAACTAAATACTTGTCAAAATTATGGGCATGGAAAGCACACAGACTCCTGAATTGAGAGAATCAGGAGGCTGAAGTTCCAAGTTTCGTAATCAATCAACAGCATGAACCTGGTCAAGTAAATTCACCTTTCTGGGTTTAGGTCCACAAAAATGTGAAAGGTGGGTTAGATGAACTACAAGTTCTTGCCAGTCCTAAAATTCTATACATTATTATTTTAATGTGAGACTTACTCAGTACTTCCCAGCTCCTCACTGGCAATGACTGATATGCTTGCAATGGGAAACAGTCCATCAGAGCAAGTTAGTTCTTTGCTCTGCAGTGACTTGTTTCAATGAGTATTGCACAATATTCAATAAGAATTCTTGTGCCTTTTTATCACTAAGCCACCTCTTGTCTCAGAAGACGTTTTGCCCCAAGAAACCAAGAAAGCCTCGTGGTTTATTCTTTCACCTCCTGCAGGTTTTGTTAAAATGTTACCTGCCAAGGAGTCTTTCCTATCCCTCCTATGTTAGTTGAATCCCACCCTCACTTTAGCACTTCCTACTTTTTTTCTCTGCTTTATTTTTACTCCAAAGTACTATCACTATGAGACATACTGTGACAGCTGAGGTCCATTCAAAAGGCAGAAACTACGTGATTAAGTTAACATTGAGGGTTTAATATAAGATTCTTAACCAAATATTAGAACTGAAACGGGGGGAAAAAGAAAAAGAAAAAAAGGAAAGGCAAATGCAGTTTTATAGAGGTGTTAACTATGGGAAGCAGCTAGGGTTGTGTTTTGGGCTGAATAGTGTCTTCCTCAAAATTCATGTTAAAGTTTTAACACCCAGGACTTCAGAATGTGACTGTGTTTGAGGATAGGGCTTTTAAAGAGCTGATTAAATTAAAATGGGTGTTCCCTACCCAATCTAAGGGTGTCCTTGTAAGAAGAGGAGGTTAGCACGCAGACCCAGAGGGAAGAACAGATGAAGACACAGGGAAAAGATGGCCGTCCAAAAGCCAAGGAGATTGGCCTCAGGAGAAACAACGCTGTCCACATCTTTTATTTTTATTTTTATTATTCAACATCAATAAAGTATTTTACTTTCCTGAGAGGTATTCCAAATTTCAGCAACAAACAAATCCCAGCAACAAAGACTTTATTTTCTTTAAAATAGTAAAAGAAATTGGAATGTGGCAGACTGAGTCAGTATAGGCTTTTCTTTTTCTTTTTTTTATATTAATTTTATTTTATTTTCCCCCCTCCCTCCCTCCCACCCATCCCCTCCCTCCCCAGAGCTTTATGTCCATTGGTTGTACTTATATGCATGTATACAAGTCCTTCAGTTGATCTATTATCTCCCCCAGATCCTCCTCCCCTCCCCACTGAAATTTGATAATCTGCTTGTTGCTTTACTGTCTCTGTATCTATCTTTTGGTTCATCAGTTTATAATGATCTTTATTATCCACAAATGAGTGAGGTCATGTGTGTTTCTCTTTCATTGATTGGCTTATTTCACTCAGCATGATGTTCTCCAATTCCATCCAGGTTGCTGCAAATGATGAGAATTCCTTCTTCTTTATGGCAGCATAGTATTCCATTGTGTAGATGTACCATAGTTTTTGGATCCAATCATCTGCTGACGGGCACCTAGGCTGTTTCCAAATTCTGGCTATTGTAGATTGTGCTGCTATGAACATAGGGGTGCATATATCCTTTCTGATTGGTGTTTCTAGTTTCTTGGGATATATTCCTAGGAGTGGGATTACTGGATCAAATGGGAGTTCCATTTTCAGTTTTTTGAGGAAATTCCACACTGTTCTCCACAGTGGTTGCACCAGTCTGCATTCCCACCAGCAGTGCATGAGGGTTCCTTTTTCTCCGCAACCTCGCCAACACTTGTCGTTTGTTGATTTGTTGATGTTGGCCATTCTGACAGGTGTGAGATGGTACCGCATCTTGATCTTGGACTTCCAGACTCCAGAACTGTGAGAAAAGAAATTCCTGTTGTTTAAGCCACTCAGTCTGTGATACTTTGTTATGAAAGCCCTCGTGGTCTAATACAGGCTTGGAGAACAACAGGAAGAGGTTGGGATAATTAAAATTTAGAAGCACAGAGCTGAAATTCTCACCTCTGAGGTGGGGACACTGCTTATCTGGGGGGGGGGGGGGGGGGGGGGGGGTGAGGGTGGTCTTTAAGGGAGCATAGTGAGACCAGTTGTGAAGTGTGGAGAAACTGAAAATTAGCACCACTTGCAGCTTCTAAAATCAACTGTCATTACCAGGATAGGATGAAGAGCCATTGATGGGGAGCTGTTGGCAGGAGCAAATGGAAGGGGCAGGTTCCTTCTTCCAACCCAACCACTCTAGTCTCTCTCTGGCGCCTTCTATTGGCAGGTGTCACCAGGGAAAAGTGAAATAGAGCAGTAGAGAATTTCAAAGATAAAAGCTTAATAACGTTTCCTCCAATCCACCCCCCCCCCCCCTTTTTTAATCTTTTCAATTTTCCCTACTAGAGCATAAGATCCATTAGGGAAGGGATTTTGTTTTATCTACTTCTGGATCCCAGAGACTGAAGAAAACCTAGAGTGTATTAGGATAAATAGTTATTAAATGGATGAATAAATATCTTCTAAATTTTAAAAGACACTTTGAAAAAAAGTGTAACATTTTACCAATGAGAAAATAGGAGTTCCAAAAAGTTAAATAATTTTGGAACTGAATAAGGATTTTAAAGCCACAACTTTCTTCCATCAGTCAAAGAAGCATGGATCACAAGACATGGTAGGCCAGACCTTTCAGACATTTTGAAGCCTTTGAGTTATTCTGCTTGTTATTTTTATGGGAATTTGTGTTGGTGATTGAATTCTATGTTTCATTTCAGGGTCAGGGCATGAAAGGTGATAATTTTGGCCAAAAAGAATTTGGTTGACAAGAGATTCAAGAAAGTCTGTGAGGATGTTAGTAAAATATTTTTGGTGATGCCCTAAGTAATGCTTAGATAATCTTGGAAGGTAAGGTTTATTATGTTCATTAAAAAAGTAAGATAGAGAAAGTTCAAGTCATTTACTCATTATGTTCAGGAGTTTAGTGGATGAGGTAGGTATCTAATTATCTAAGTGTGTATCTAGTTTGAAGTACCAGATCATGATAATTTCCCTTTAGGTTAATCACCTTAGACAAACTAACTGAAACTCTGCTGTAACATGTGTTTTTGTTTTGTTTTTCTTTTGAGGAAGATGATTTTCAATTGCAAGGATGCTATCCATCTTTCCTTCTTTAATCTTCTTTCCATTTATCCATTCCCTTCCAATTAATGCATCTATCTTTAACATTTTTATTATTAGACATTAATTAAAGATTTCCAGATTCATTGGATATGTTAGGATTATGTTTTGATAAAAAAAAAAGTAGCCTAAAATAATAGTGGCTTAAGCAAGATAAAGGTTATTTGCCTCAGAGAAGAGAAGCATTGCACAATGTTTCTCTGGAGATCCTCAGAATTCTGCCTTCATTTTATTGATCAGGCTTTAATCACAAAGCCACATCTAGCTGCAAAAGACGCTGAAAATGTAATATGTGAACTGTGTACTATTTTTTTTTTCTGTTAGGAAGGAAAAAAAAAAAACACACAAAAGGTGGCAATCAACAGTATTTACCACTCACACTTGTCTGCTTACTGCCTTCCTCTGCCTCATTGTGTATCCAATTTTGGCCTTTTTTGATTCCTTGGATTCCTTGTTTATTTGGCTATTAAAGAAATAGTGAAGATTTGGGAGGGAAGAGGAGAAGAGATTAGATGCATAAAACTTAAAAGGCTGAAGTCCATGTATAAAGACTTTTGAGCTGGGAATGGTGGTAAAAATATAGGTAACATTTACTGAACACTTACACTGCCAAGATTTGTGCCTAAATATTTTACATATACCATCTCACTTAACACTCAAAGGAAACCTATGAGGTAGTCATTATTATTACCCTCATTTCATACCTGAGAAGGCAGTTCTAGAGAGATTGACAACTTGTCTAATTTCAGTGGCCAGTGATGGTAAAGTTTATTTTTTTAAGCTCTCTGCTTCCAAAGATTAAGTTTACTCACTAAGTTCCTTATGAGGCAGGAAAGTAAGAAGCTGGGGAAACTCCTTGACAAGTGGAATAAGGAAAATTGAGGCAAATTAATTAAACTAGGCCAAACAATTTGAGCAATTTACAACCAGCTAATGAATCATAAGGTTTTATCTTCCCTAACCAAGGACACTAAGGAGCAAATAGTTTACCACTCCAGACTGTCCCAAGGCAGACCAGCCTCAGTCCCAGTCCCTCTTCAATAACATTCTTTAAAAATAAAACTAGCCAGAAAATAACCCTGACCATTCTACATACATATTTCGATGAATCAACATATTAAAGGACATAATGAATATTCTACTAGTAAGACCCTTTATGATACTTTCCCTAGGATTTCTGTTGGCATAAAAGAGATAAAAAGCCTCAAGACAAAGGACTTATGGTGCACTCTCATTAGAGCACAGCCAGGCCTTGTATCTCTGCTCTTTCTCCTAAACTCGACTGGACTTGCAACCAGGGGAGCAGTGGCAGTGGCAGCTTATCCTGGACTTACCCTCTGGAACCTGTCTCCAAGGCCCTGTTTTTCACTGAGTTTCCTGTGAATGAACAGCAGCCCTGCCTTGGCTCACTTCTCTTAGTGTGGCTTCCATTTCTCAGTGAGCCAAAGCAGCCCTGCTGTGGCTCTCTCCTGTTACCTGTTACTTCTTTCAGCCCTTCTTTTGTTTCACTGTTCCCAAATTTAATAAACATAAATGTCAAAACCAACTGGACTCCTATTGTGAGACCTTTTCCTGCACAAAGTTAAGAACCAACACACTAATGGCTGACCTGAGGCAGGGCTGCCCTGAGCACCTTCACTGTGGGATAACACATCTCACTGGGGAGGCTAAAAAGATAGCAAGGTACTAATGGGAAAGATCTGTTTTTAAGTGCCTTATAGATATTGTAGTTCCTTTCTCTAAAGCTTTTACTAATAGTAAATTTTGGCAGACATGTTTGTAGCATGAACCCTGACTATTAGGCAGACCTGACTGGCTCAGGAATGGACACCACCCCTTCAACTGCCTCTCAACAGTTCCTTTCCTTGGAATATCCAATTAAATTATGGAGGAATTAAACTGTGGAGAAACAGAATTAAAAGATTCGAAGGAGTGAGTAGGGACTTCTCTCTGAAGGAGAACTTGTACAGCGTGTGCACTACTCCTTTGCTGAGGTGAGAGTACTGCCTTGAACTCAGAACTGCTTTCTGATTCTAGCTTCCTTAAGTCATGACCAAGAACCCGAGTTTCATGGCCTCAAGAGTCTCTGTTGGGCTTACACTAAACTCTTTGTATCCAATTTCAATTAGATGTGCTTCTGCTTTTTATAATCACAAGGACCACAAGCATAAATGACCTGCATTTAGAACACATCTGCTTCGGAGTGTAATGGTTGGCAGCACTGACTGCACCCAGGATGCTTCAGTGCAAATCCAGCTTCATCACTTATTAGCTGTGTGGCCTTGTGCAAATTACTTACCTTCCCATGCCTCAATTTCTTTATAGAATGATCATTAACTATGCATGACACACAGTTAATATTATATATCTGTTTAATTATTACCCTTACTGTGTTTCTTCTTTGAGAAAAATAGCCTCTAACTTCTGACATCACAGTCAGAAGAAATAGTAATGAAAAATAATACTAATAGCTACTATGTATTGATAGTTCTCTTTATGCCAGAGATTGTTAAATATATTATGTAAATTGGTTCATTATGACTCCCCAAAAACTGTGAGATGGGTAACATTACCCCTTTTTTCAAGTAAGGAATTGAAGCCCAGAGAAATTAAGTAATTCATGATCATCAATAAGAAAGCAACTCGATTCACATCTAGACCTGATTTTAAAATCTGTGGTTCCTTCCCTGGGCCACAAATCACCATGTACTTGTTCTGTACAAAATAGTCTGGGGAAAATTGTCTAGGATCCCTTTAGTCTCTAATGAGATATATCATATAGTTCTCAAACACCTTGGATTTGTATAGCCCTTTTTTTGCATTATGAAATTACTTTAACATGAATTACTTCATTTTCTGTTGTATATTCCAGACTTCATTGGCATAAAAAGCATGCTAGTCTTTTGAATAGATAAGACAGATTCACTCAGGTTTTAGTTAATATCTCCAAGTGTTATTTTTTTCCTCTCCTAGATCTGACCTGTAAATGGCTCATTTTGTCAGTGTTTTGAGCACAGAACTTCCAGCTGATGAGCTGTGAATGAAGTCTGTGACTGGTGGTGGGGTGAATGAGGAGGGAGAGAAAGTGAATTATAGTAAAAAGAGGCAATCAATGTTTAAACAATAGCTCACCATCAGCAAAAGAAATCCTCATGCACTTCAGAACTCTGCTTTGTGTAGTAGGAGCCAGAGAGACCACAACCATAGCTGTCTCACATCTTTTAAATCTATATTGGAAAATTAGCCACTCAATGGCTTTAAAATGTGCTTGGGCAGCTTGTAGCTGTAATGACTGACAGGTTGGGGAAATCTAGACCTTTATGGAATGATGGTTTTAGGGAAGAGAAAAGAAAATGTTCTGTTTAGATGTCATTGAAAGCTTTATTTGTACTGTTCATGACATTAAATTATGAGGATAGCATCCTGACTTGATCTATTAGGTCTAGTAATAATTAATGTCGTTTTCTAATACTTTTTAAAATCGAATTTATTTAAACAATACAACAAAATTTAATCAACAATATAGTTGCCGTTGTTTTCTACTACTTGTGCCCAACGCTCAGGAAGCATTTTAATCCTTCTGTTGTAAAATTCTTGTGATTTTGATGCAAAAAATTCGGTCAATGCATTTTTGAGGCATTCTTCATTATTAAATTTTTTTCCAAGAAGAAAGTTTTGCAAAGAACGAAACAAATGGTAATCGGAAGGGGCAATATCAGGAGAATATGCAGGTTGAGGGAAAACTTCCCATTCCAACTGGCGCAGTTTTTCAGCAGTGATTCTTGCAGTATGCGGTCATGCGTTATCGTGGTGAAGAATTACGCCCTTCTGATTAATCAGCGCGGGTTCTTTTTCTCTTAAAGCTTGGGCTAACCTTTCCAATTGGGCACTATACACTGCACTTGTAATGGTTTGGTTAGATGGTAAAAGTTCATAATGAAGAATTCCTTTAAAATTCCACCAAACACACAACATCACTTTTTTCACATGCAAGTCAGGTTTTGGCGTGGGCTGCAGAGCCTCATTTTTGTCCAACCATTGAGGCCGCCTTTTCAAATTAACATACAGCTCCCATTCTTCATCTCCAGTAACAATTTGCTCTAAAAACGGCAAACGGTTTTGACAAGAGAGGAGCGAACTGCAAATTGTGACTCTTTGATTATGGTTGTTGTCGGTCAACTCATGAGGAACTCATTTTCCAAACTTTTGGACTTTGCCAAGTGCACGCAATTGATTGGAAATTGTTTTTTGTGAACAATGTAAAGTTGTCGCAAGCTCTTGTTGGGTAATTTGAGGATTTTGCACCAAAAGAGCTTGAAGAGCTTCCTGATCAAAATTGGACACATGGCCTCTACCACTCTTGTCATCTAACGAAAAATTTCCCTCGCGAAATTTCTCAAACCAACGTTGGCATTTTCTGGCGCTAACTGCATCTTGACCAAGAGCACTACAGATGTTTTTTGCAGCCTCACTTGCTTTTCTTCCTAATTGGAACTCGTAAAGCATGCAGTGCCGAATATGCTCTTCATCCGCATCTTCTTTGCCCTAGTTTTGCAACAAAAACCAAACCAAACACAAACTTTTTCAAGCAAAACTTGTTAACTGCACTTCACACATTCTGTAGATACCACGTGTTTGAAGGTTATGTCAATACAAGTCAACGCCAAGCAAGATTTTAAACGAATGTTAAAAAACGACATTAAGTATTACTAGACCCGATATTAAAATGGCTTAAACAGATCCCCAATTGACAATACAGGTTTTATATAGTTAAGCCTAAAGTGGAACTGGTTTTCTTCCCAGTTGGCTTGAGGGTGGGAGAGGTTAAGTTTGGTGACAGGTTTGAGCAGACACTGATACTGTTTCCTAAGCTCTAAGAAAATTTCCAAAGTCTTAGCTCCAGATATCTCTTATTATTTCCCTTATTGCCAGTTTTCATTTCAGGTGGAGAAATGGACATCACAATTTAGCTAGTTTTGTTTCTTTATAACTGGGAATGACATTAGTATTTCACACATTGCAAATATTCCTATCTAATAGACAAACATTTTAAGACTAGTGAGAGAATCCTGTTTAATCTCCTCTCCTGGGACATGAAAGTTTCAGACATATATTGTTTCATCATCTATGCAGTAACCATGGTTGACTACATAATATTTTTGTACTTAGCTATGCAGCTATTTCTTCACATGGCCTTGTTTAGTATATAGCATCTGCATTGTATATCCAGCTGAAATGGTGCTTCTACAAGCAAAGACAATAGCAAAAATTTAAAATAGGATGGTTTAGAAAGTTACACATGATAGTTTTCACTTTATAAACATCTAATTCAAAAGATTTTAGTATTTCTAATCTAATATCTTTCATCCCTATGAACACAGTGTATCATGTAACGAGTATATGGTAGAATGATCATTTTTTTTTTAGCATTTAGAGTTTGCAAAGCATTTTATAATACCATCTCAATAATAATCTAAATTAGTTATTAGTAACAATTTACACATGAGATTCCAGAGGTTGATGGGGCAAGTAATTTATCTAAAATCATGCAGATTTAAATTTTGGCCAGTAGGCAAAATTTAAACCCAGGCTGGGACTCTAATGTCAAACTCTTTCATTATTGTGTGAGGACAGCAGGACAGGGCAGTAGCTATGTAGGCAGATAGTCAGATACAATGGGTCAGAGACCACCGAAACACATGGCATTTCATCACCTTCCTATAGAAAGTCTTACACAAGATGCTCACTCAATTCAAAGTCAAATGAGAAGAACAAATAATTTCATTCATAGATGAGCTTCCAATACCTGTTGTGTTAATCCTCTTCCTTTTAAATCATTTTATCTCTCTAGTTAAAACCGCCCTGGACTAGATCTTAACTTCTAGCAAAAGTTCAGAGTTTTATGGGTAAATTCCTTCAGTGTTTCACATGGCTCCGAGGTTTCTCAATGAAAGTTGTATAGCATCTCCTTTGTTATTGTCAAGTGGCACACTCACAGAGATAGATAAACCATGCAATTATGGGGTAGAGCTATAATTACCTCTGCTTTCTAAACCACAGTGTAGGAACTTTATGCTACTTCTTTTGAATGTGATAGAGTTAATTGTTATTACTATGTTATCATGTAGCATTAACTAATAAACCCAACTAAGCTACCTGGTAATTCAAGAGTCATTGCATAACAAAGAACCTGGTGACTTAAAGCATGATCAGCATTTATAAAATGCGTGAACTGACATCACCACTACTGTAACCCATCAAATAGTTGTTGTTTGCATTCAGCTGGGGATTATAGCTCTCATAACAGCCTTCGGGGCCCTGCAGTGTCCTGAACCTGGTTTAGCAACACCTGGGACATTATATAGGCTTGAAGCCCTAGTATGACTGAATCAACAATGTAATGTTACTCACTGTGCTGTTGGTGCGTATTTAGGAAGAGAGCTTTAAAACTGGATTTTGTGTGCCCATATGGACTCGGGGCATTTGAAGAAGGAGTAGGAGTGTCTTTATGTTCAATAAACAGCAAGCCTGCTGTACAGATAATATTATGTAGTGGAGAGATAGAAAAACTGGTTTGGAAAAGTTAGAACTCCTGTTTATCCCACTCATTCTGACCTATTACCCAATTTTTTAGAAGTGTCTGGAGCCAACATTTGGAACATTTTCTTGCTCCTTGTAATGCACCTTTGAGTTGTAGAATAACAAACAGGTATCTTTCCAATTATACATGGTACTTGGATCTATGAATCGATGTACCTTCATATCAGTCTATCTGAGTATCTTTATATCTATGTATGAGTTTATTTGTGAACTTATATATCTCCTTTTATATCTTTATGGGACATGCTGGCATGAATAGGCCCGGATTACTAACTCCAGACTGGTGTTCATGGATAACAAGAGGAAACTCGAAAAAGGCCCACATAGTTTAGAGCCTAAGGCTTTCTGTCTTTCCAGAAATCCTGTGTTTACCCCCGCTTCTGTGATGTCTCTTGCATCTGTCTGCTCCCATTGCATCTATGCCAACTGAGCTCTTTACTAACCATCAATAGAAATATTATGATAGTATCACAAACAGGCTGCCTGCCTCCTCCCTTCTAACATTCTAAACCACATGTCCTATCTCCTGTTCAGATGCTGTCCTTGATTTCCTAAAGTTTACCTGGCTGTTCAAAGCCTTCTACAACTTCCTTCTACCAGCTTCTTTCTCCTTATGGCCTTGCCAGCACCCTCTAAGTCCCAGCAGAGTGGTTGCTGTTTTGAGATATTAGATAGCACTACCCTTCTTCTGTACACTTCTTTTGCTAGGCCTTCCAACTAAATACTTTTCTACCCATCTGAACATTTGAGCCCTTCTTAAAAACCATTTCTGATATAAAACATCTTTGATTTTCTCCCCCCAAAACCTTAGATAGGCCTTATGTGCCCTAGTTGATTTAATCCTGTTGTAGTCATGGGCTCTCAATGTTATAATTCTAAGTGTGTCTCAAGTCTGGGTCCTTCTTTTCACCCCCTTTGCCACTGCTTTAGTTTAGGGGATTACTTCTTTCTGTAATATTGCAAATTATATTCCTTATCTCCTATCTCTCAGCCATCCACACATATTGTTATTATAGTGATATGTTTAAAATGCTAATATAATCATTTACTTATTACTTCTCTATTTAAAATCATGTCACAAGAAGAGGAAGTTTGAGTAGATGAGTAAGGTGGAGCTATTATAATGTATAGGTTTAAAATTTTATCAAATTTTCAATAATTTCTTGCATGAGTTCTTCAAATAATTTTCTTCTCTTCACTTCTCCTTTGTAAATTCCAATTACATGTATATTTGACTGCTTGTTATTTTCTTACAGCTCAGTGATGCAATGTTCTTTTGTAAAAAATTTTCTTTTCTATGTTTTACTTTGGATCATTTCTATTATTATATCTTCAAGTTAATTATTTTTTTCTCTTATAACATCAGATCTGCGATTAATCTCATCCAGTGAGTTTTCCATTTCACACATTGAAATTTTTATTTCTAGAAATTGGATATGAGTCTTTTAAAAATATCTCTCCCATCTTTCTATTTAACTTTTTGAACAGATGGAATATTTTTATAATGTTTTTTTTAAAATATATTTTTATTGATTTTTTACAGAGAGGAAGGGAGAGAGATAGAGAGCTAGAAACATCGATGAGAGAGAAACACCGACCAGCTGCCTCTTGCACACCCCCCACCGAGAATGTGCCCACAACCAACGCACATGCCCCTGACCGGAATCGAACCTGGGACCCTTCAGTCAGCAGACTGACACTCTACCACTGAGCCAAACCGGTTTCGACTCTAATATGGTTTTAATGTCCTTGTCTGCTAATTCTAAAAGTTATGTCTGTTCTGGATATTTTGATCGACAGATTTTTCTCTTTGTTTGCCTGTTTTTTTGTTTT